GGGGGGGCGGCAAAGGGCACGGGGGTGTCTGGGATGGAGGGTGCACGGGAAATGAGACTGGGAGGGGGAGATGTGTGGCAGAGCGGGGGCGGGCGCTGGGGGACAGGGCGGTGAAAGCTCAGCAGGTAGGTGGTTTCTTGCATCTATGAGATGATGAAAGGGAAACAGCGAAGTAAAGGGCCGTGGTTTCAGGGGTAGCTATTTTCTCCCACCCGCCTGGTTTGTTCAGGTGAGTGAGCTGTAATATCCCCTTCTCTGGGAGATACCAGCAGAAAGACACTTTGCCATGGGATAGGTAAGTTGGTAAAAAGTATCAGTGGGGTGGCCATGTTAGTCGGGAGTCCGCAAAAGCAATGAGAAGTCTTGTGGCCTGGTCTGCGCTCCCCGCTCCCCCCAGCAGACTAGGGAGACGCGGAGCAGCTTTTCTCGCCGTGGAGGACGCGGGCAGCGGGACCGCCGCGGCGCATCTCAGTGGTCTGCTGGGTGGGGGCGCAGCTAGTGCGGGGTTCCCTCAACCCGTTTGAAAGTAGGGATCCGACATAAGTCGGATCCACATAACCCGGGGACTGCCTGTATACAGTAGCCCAGTGTCTGAGAGTCTGTAACGCCGAAATGCTGGCTGTTCCCTCAGGGGGGCGCTGTTGCCTGAAATGCTGGCTGTTCTCTGGGAGGCCGCAAAGTCTGTTCATGGCCAGGGGGTGGGACCTGGAGCTGCTGTCATGCCATACATCACTGCCCCGCCCCCCTTCGCCTCCCGCCGTGGTGCTTGGCTGACTTCTGCGCTGCTCAGCCAGGCCACCGTGGGGGAGCTTGGAGCCTGGTGCCCAAATGGAGGCCCGGAAGTCTTATGACGGGCTAATTGGCTAGTTTCAAAATACTTATTTTGGGAGTTACTATTTCCAAATAACTTATTTCAAAATAATTTCCTAGTGTAGAGTTTCCCTAAGTGTCTAATCAGCAGTTATGTAACTTGGAAAGTTACACTTTGAATTTTTCATACCATAGAGTTTAAATTGCCTATCATGCATCATTCATAGTTCTTGTCTGCTAATGATTCAATTGATGCATTCACCACATTTCCCTTCCAGCTCCTAAGCCCAGTGTTTCTTAATCTTTTTAAGACTGAGGAACATCAAACAATTTTTTTTATGAGGAACTCCAAGGATTTTTCGTTGAGAGGGGAGAGAAAAAAAATTGGGGGGGGGGAGAGTTATTGAGGGGGGGAAAAAAAAAGGTCGCCTGCCCCTTTAAGGGCAGCCATTTTGAACTCTGTTCTCCACGGCACACCAGTGTGCTGTGGAACACAGTTTAAGAAATACTGCCTTAGCCCCTATGCTTGATGTTACTACCACAAGTAATGCAATCAGAATCCTGTTTGCTTGGAACTCACAGCCTAAGAGCACTGCTTTTGTTGCAGTCATCTCAGAGGGCTAGTAGCCTGCCTGTTAAGGTTGGGGTAAGAAATGGGTGAAGCTGAGAAAGTAGCATGTGTAAGTGAAATAAGTATGTATAAGGGTCCGGTTTAATAGCAAGCAAATTTGAGGATGGATGTGAGGAACCAAATTTGAATGCTCAAGCTTATCCTTTTCTCCTTAAAGTAAGACTTATTGGAAGACTAAAGTGTGTGTTTCTCTTAGTGGGCAGTTTTTTTACCTTCAACAATACCCTATCACAATCTGGGACCACTTGGCCATCTTACTAAATATTTAGTGGACAACCACCCCAAACTGCTGTATAATGGGTAAGTTGGATTTGGAGAGCTAATATTTTTGCTTCTTTTACCTTATCCTGTTTTTCCATCTTCGCCTCCTTCTGAAGATTCCATAATTAAATTTGATAGCTTCTTTCACCTTAGTGGTAGTAGAGGTGATGGAAGACTAGGTGAATAAAATTTATCAAGGCGAGTTCCTGAGATCTGGAAGCTGAATGGGAATTTGCTTTCCTTAGGGTGACAAGAACATGTGTCAGATAATTCTTGGCAACAGTTAATGTCTAGGTTTTACAATCCCCTTTAACTTCTTAAATGCTTTTTCCTCTTCAGATAGGATGCTGCAACTTAATCTCATTTTACAGGACATCTTTTAAAGCTGTTACAATTTATAGTGGTGACAGGACCAAGGTTTGTCTGGTTATGAAACACTTAAGGCTTTATGATATGTAAGCCTGTCTACATGTAGAGAGTTTTTTTCCAGTCAAGTTGTTTTTGAAATGTGTGGATACATTTTTATTCCAGATTAAGTGTCCACACTTGGAGTTATTCAGAAATAAGTAGCTAGAAAGCTCTTCTCTTTTTGAAGAATTGTGTTTATATCCACCTTGGAGCACAGTCTCATGACTTGTATGCAGGACTCAGTCACATTATAAATTCCAATTATCAGAGGAACTTGCAACACTTATTCTGTAGATAAGAATTGTTCAGTGTACCTTGGTGTGTTGCTTCAGATGCAAGATTGGTATCCTCCAGGCTACACATTAAAATCAGTAGTGGATAGAAACTATGAGTTCAGAAAAGCATGCATCTGAACATCAATATACAAGAGGAGGACACATTACAAGAGTATATCATTATAAACCCTAATGATCATAGAACTATTTTTAGAAGGGCTTTGTTAAAAAGCTTCAAATTGTTACATTTTTTTACCCATTTTAAACAAAAAACTCTTTTCTTAAATGCCAACGTATTTGATCTCTTCATACCTTCTGCATACTAGAGAAGTTCATTAACTTTAGTTTATAAATACAAAACCAATAAAAAGCTGATGATATGATTTCTCTAGTACAGTGGTCCCCAACCTTTTGGGGTGCCAGGCGCCCGGGGGCGGGGCCACGGCTGCGCCACGCGCCCATGAACAGGACCGCCTGCATGCCCGGGGCTGGCACCGCTCATGCGCTGCATGCCTGGGGAAGGGCCGGCCCTGATCACTCGGCGGGCGCACATAAATGCCCCGGCGGGCACCATGTTGCCCGCGGGCACCGCACTGGGGACCACTGCTCTAGTAGGTGTACTGCACCTCTAATAAGTACAAGGCTAAATTCTTTACTGAGGCAGTCTTGTATTATCACTGAGAGCTGAGTCTGATAATGTACTGCAGGATCTGGCCCAATATTTGCTATTTCACAAACACATCATGGAAAGTTTTGGATTAATATCAAGTGCTTTAGGTGATTCATTGTACCTGAGCTTCATAACTAGTCTTTAGGCAACTATACTTTGACTTTATTTCAGATATGCCCTTAGAATACAAATTTCTCAGTTGTCTTTTAGAAAAAGCAGAAATCTAACTTGTCTGTTTTGAAAATCTATCTTTTGCATTTTATAGTCACAGTATAGCCCTAATTTTCAACATTAAATCTAAAGTGTATGCTTACCTTACCAGGTTTTGGCTCGCATGGGGAATTCATATAGCTGAAGCATTGTATAGTATCAAGTTATGCAAGTAAGTTGTGTGGGCGGGTGGGTTTTTTTAAATTCCCCTCTTGGTTTTTAAGGCAAACATTAAAAAAAAAAAGCCTAAAAAGGTAAATGTGGATTTAGGAACCTAACTTCAGGCGCTGTTATCGAAGGAATTTGGGAGTTCATTTTCCTGTGTGGTACTCTGATTGTTAGCCATTTAAAAAAAAACCCGAATTCTTCCAAGTATATTAGATTTAGACTTATATAGATGAGAGAAACTGTGGGTTTTAAGCATTTTGAAAATCAAATTAAGTTTTTAGTTATGGGAAATTGAAAAGTATCAATTTTTTAATTACAGCTTTATGATTAAAAAAGTTAAAGCCTTAACACTAGTTGTCAAAATATACAAAGTAAATAAATATCCTTAAATTAAACTAAGTTCTCAAGCAACAATTCTTTCTCTTCCCATCTGCAAATTTCAGGTACTGAAATGGTTTTTCATTGGGCTTTCCAAATTCAACTATTATTACTGAGTGCCCTATCAAAAAGTCATAACAATAGGTGGAATAAAAACTAATGCTGATACTTTGTAGGGGACAAGGGAGCTCTTAATACCTGCCCTCTCCTCCCTGCCTGCCTTTTCCTTCATTTATAGTTTTTCTTCTGAGAAGAAAAAATCCGGATGAAAATAGAGCCAAAGGAGGCCTATATCTCAGGCAGTCTTTCTGCCTTCTGTTTTAAGAGCTTAGTCTTTCAAAGTCTATTACGCCCCCCCCCCCCCATTTTTGTACTGCTTTGCTGCCAGTCAGCAGTCAGGTCAGCTTAAAATGAGATGGTTACAAGCTGTCGGCAAACTCTGAAGTGGAATAGCTACTTCCTGTTCATTGCCATTTCCTTTTTTAAACTCCTTCTCCTCCAGGAAGAACAAATCTTTCAGGTTTGTCTCATTAGTGCTAAACAGGTCTAGTAGCTTATTAGTCTCCTCTACACCAAAGTGAGGACACATCCCTTTACAAACATTCAAATTTTGAAAGCATATTAGAGGCTTTTCTTTAAGTAGTCCTTGAAGATAAACAGGACTATTGGCCTAGTATATGGGAGAAAAAAAACCCGTAAATTGGATATCTTGAGTTTAGTACTTTTTTTTTTTTTTTTTTGACAGTCCCACGCCAGTGTCATAAACCCACAGGGAAATGTGATCTAGATTAAATGAAATTACTTTAAGATAGGTGCACAGTTATTGAAAAGATTATTTATCAATGGTTGGCTGTTAAACTGGAGGGTGTACTTAGTGAGATCCTGCAAGGATTTGTCCTTGATGAGAGACTATTAGTAATGACTTTGATAATGGAGTGAAGAGTATGCTTAGAAAATTTGCTGATAACATCTGGGAGGGGTTAGTCACACTGGAGGACAAGATCTAAGGACCTTGACAATTGGGGAATTTGTTCTGAATTCAACAACAAGAATTTTAATAAAAGTCAACCATACGCAAGATGGGGAAGAGGTAAGAGAATCCAGTGTAGAGCTATACATTTCAGTGTAACTGACTGGCTGTGTTGCTGAAAAAAGTTTCCAGAATGAATAAGACTGATATGCAGTTGCTGAATGGTGGTTATTTTAGGACATGTTAACAGAAGTGTTTTCTGTTAAACAAGGGTAGTAATTGTCTCCTCAGCATAGTGGAGTACTGTAGCCAATTCTGAGTGCCACATTTTAGGAGAGATTTGAACAAATTGGAGAGAGTCCAGAGGACAGCAACAAAGCAGATTAAGGATTTAGAAACTGAGGCCTGATTAAGACTGACCATGTTTAATCTAGAGGAAAAGACTGAGCAGGGAGACCTGATAGTCAATCGTATCAAAAGAACTAGACTCAGTTCTTGTTGACTGAAGGTAGAACAAGCAATAATGGGCTTAATCAGTTAGATATTGGGAAATACTGTTTAACCATAAGCAGAGTTAAGATTAAAAAATAGGCCTCTAAAAGAGGTTGTGGAACCCCCCATCACTGGAGATTTTAAAGAACAGGTTGGCCAAACATCTGTCAGAGATTCTCAATGTTTACTTGGTCCTGCCTCAGCATGGAGGCCTGGACGTGATGACCTGTTAAGGTCCGTTCCATCCAGCCTAACATTTTTGTGATTCTATAGAATATCTTCTCTGCATCTTTGTAATCACAGCTTGAAAATCTGGCCAGCATGCTTGCTGGAGTGTGGAGCTGTATTGGACTGGGCTGCCATCTAGTGGGGTTTATGCAGTAGAAAATGAATGTGAAGGCATTCTGAAGTATAAGGAATTCTGTGTACATCTGTAACAGTGGCCAGAAGTTTAGCCCAACTTAAACAACCATGTATGTGACTAAAAGAATGAAGGCTCTACAATCAGAGTTATCTTTCCTATATCCACTCTAAACCCCATGTTGATTAGCAATACTTTTAAAACTTAATACTTCCAACTAACTTTTTAAAACTTATTATGTAGCTCTTAACATTGCAGTCTTGCTTACATGCTGCTTCATGAATATTGGAAAAGGAAAGGCTGTCTCATGCAGTGTTCTGAAAACTTACACATGCTCCTCTTCCACTTGCCACAGGCTCAGTCTGGCTCCTTATTCAGACAAAGCTTCAAAGTAAATAATACTTTTGTTTTGTCTATGTAATGATTGCTTAATATGGCCCTCTGATTATTTGTATTTGAAAAAAATTGACTCTCAGGTGACTTAATTAAAAGGATAGTATGAAGTGATGCCTCTTTGCAATTATATAACTTCCCAGTTTTAAAAAGGTAGAAAGGGCAGATTTCTCTCACAGTTAAAATTAGTACCTAACATTGTGAACAAATGTACAGGAACATAAGCCTGATACCAAACATAGTACGTGTGACAGCCCTTTCTAGGTTTTGTGCCCTAAAGGAAGCACTTAAATTTATAAAGCATTATTAGAATGTGAAGTGCTATGAAGAAGAAATATAGACTACATACTTAACACCTTGTTTCTGATAAACCTCTGCTTAGCCAGCAGCTGGCAGTATCATCCCAATGGTAAAACATATGCTTTCTAATATTACTTATAGACATTATTAAGGAGACAAGCTTAAATCTCATTGAGGATAGAAAGTATTTATTTTCCTAAATAATATGTATACACTTTTTGCATAAACAAGTTGTATTTCAAGAACAGTCAATGAATGCAGGAAAAAAAAAGTCAGGAAGCACTGTCTGGACTACAAAGGTGTAGAGCTAGTGTGTTAAGTTTTAAAACAGGCTTTCTTTATACTAGGTACTAAGTGCTATTTAAAAACATGCTCACAAATATTAACTAACACATTTGCTATCTGCTCATCAAAACAGGGCATAACAGTGTAACAAGGATTGGGATATTTTAGCTGAAATTGGTAGAGGGGGCACCAAGTAAGTTGAGGCAACAGATGTAGTTAAAGTTTCTTGTAATACACATGTTAAAATCAGACATTAAGTGTAACCCATCTTATACCTCCAGTCATGAGCTTTCTCTTAATTCCTGGCAAGTTTGGAATTTTTGTGGCATTATGTATTTATTGTTTCCCCACTATTAGGAAAGACATCACTTTTTTTAAACATCACTTTTTTTAGGATTGTTTTTTAATTTAAATGTATTCCCAGACTTAGTCTACAGTGACTTAAGTCCTACAGTGACTTATAGCATATGCTTGCTCTCGATAGTATTAGCCATGCGTTCTTGGAAAGGGCTGCAGCACGATAAGAAGCCATTCTTCTCATGGCTTCATCCTTGCAGGTTATGATTTCCAAAGCAGTATCACCTAACTGGAGAAGGAAAGGGTTGGAGGCTCATTTTATTTCCAACATTAATTAGCAAGTGCGCTGTCATCAGTAATAAGTGTTGGCTAGTGGAGAATAGGCTCTCAAAATGTAACTGGAGCAGTAAAACATGCTCCAGACCACACTTTGGAATTTGATCCTGTACCTTCAGATTTCTTATGGCAAAACACTGCACCAGATGTCTCTCTTCCTCTTTATTTTGCTGCCTTGTCCTAGTGCAACAGTCGGCCAGCCCTGCTTTTGTTGAGGCACAGATCTCATTAGTGTTAGATGTGCTTCACTTTTATTGGACTGTGATAGTAAAATAAAAATCTAACTTTGTTTTATTGCAGGATCAAAGGCATCACTGACCCATCCGTTCAATGTCGATGGTTCATCCAAACCTTCTTCTTTGGTTTAGCTTCTCTCTCCCACCTGCTAGCTTACAAGCCTCCACCTAAGAAGCAGAGATAAAGGATTAGGAAAGAAGCAAATGAAGCGAACATATTTCAGCCTTGTTCTCAGAAGGTGGATCCACTCTGTTTAGTTGCTGTGAATGATCCTAGCATGCATTTCCTGTTATGTGACAGTTCACTCAAAATTGTAGCCATAAATCATGAAGTTTGCAGAAGTCATGAAAGTTATAACTTCCAGTGACTGCCATGACTTCATTCCGGGTGGAGCAGCATTGGAGCTGTCAATCAGGACCCTGCTCAGGGTGCCCAGGGGGGTGGGAGGAATGCTACAACTGTAGCTGTTAGCCACAGTGGATGGTTGGGGGAAGCCCGTAGCAGAGGGGAACCCCAGAGCTCTGTGCCACATATGGTGGGGACTTCTGGAGCTTCAAGCTAAGGAGCTTCAAGTTAAGGACCCCACAGCAGCAAGGTAACCCCAGAGCTCCAGCAGTGATGCATGCTGGACTCTTCTCCCTACCATTTTCTTAAAGCTGTTTTTAGTAACTCAGAGTCAGGTCATAGGCTTCCATGAATTTTTATTTATTGCCATAACCCTTCTGTAACTTATACTAAAGATGAGTGACAAAGCCTTAGCCTTACCTGTATTGTATACAGTATTCAGTTTGCTTCTTACTGAAAAGCTCAGTTCCTCTCCAGCCCCACCTAAAGGAAACCCCACCGTGCCTGGGCAGAACAGTTGTATTTTGGTAGATGTTTTCCTACCACATCAGCAGAGACACTTTACTTACATAATAAAGAGAAGTCTCTGTCTGTCATAGGTTAGAACTGTTTTCCTGGGCTTTCAATAAAAATTTCTTGCCAACATTTTTGGTTAAATATTACACCTGTTTTTCTCTAGTTCAGTCTTCCCATATCAGGGAGAAATGTTCCTAAGGTTGTAGGAACACTAACAAGTGGCTACATTATATAGGATGATGCACAATTATTTGAGCCAGAATACGTAGTGGAACAATTCATTCCGCTAAAGATAACAGAGAACTTGTTGATGATCTCTTGCCTTAAATCTCACACAGTGGGAACTTTTCTCTGTGGATGGTGAATTTAGATTATGGAAGTCAGTGACCATATATAACTTGAAGGAGAGCAGATGATCAGTGCAGCTATTTTCTGAAAGACTGATAACAGTACACTTAGAAGTTATAGAAGGATAATTAAAGGATTCCTAGATTTAACTTTTTTTTATTTCAAGACAAATATGTTCTATCTACTGTTACTGTAAGAAAGGGTCAATTAACATATTAACTAGATATTAATGCACTGGTCCAAGAGACTCTATTATGCAGTTCCACAAATATATGAAGTAAAATTCTGTTCCATCATCCTTCGATGCCACCAACAGCCAATTTGTCTGTTGTTTAAGACAACTTTAACTCTACTGAACACTGTTGTATCTCTCTATTATGGAATTTTTCCATAGGATGAAGAGATTGAAGTATGTTCTATCATGTTTTAACATTACACCAAGGGACCAAGACCACTTGAAATATCATAGAATAATAGGACTGGAAGGGACCTCAAGAGGTCATCGAGTCCAGCCCCCCGCCCTCAAGGCAGGACCAAGCTCCATCTACACCATCCCTTACTACTGTATTTAAAGTATTTTGGGGAGAAGATTATTACCAAGTATTGCCACTGATTCATATCCCCTTTGATGCTAGTCTCCTCTGGGGGGTGCAGGGGAGACTCCCTGGTGACTCTTACATAACAGGAAAGAGCAGCTGCCAGACCTGTTACTGCACTTGCAGAGTCACTCTTGAGTAATCTTAAAAATATTTTAGGTGGTGCCCACATATGTCTATGAATCAAGACCGTAGGATCTCAGTGTTGGCACTGCCCTTTTAAAGCAGTTACTATTGAGGTGCAGAGGCTTCATTCAAGCCCTAGAGCATAGGGAGTGTACACTCAAAGCAGAAATTGTCAAAGTTGAGTATAAGGCACACTTGAAGAGTTAACAGCACAGAACTGTTAAACTGCTTCTTAAGAATAAGAGCACCGGGGGAGGGTTGGGTATAGTGCCATATCTGGTACTAGAGAACAGGGTGAGAGAGAACAAGTTTGGCTTCATTTCTGTATTTTAATCCTGGAATACTAAAAATAAAGGTTTGGGGGAAAAAAAAAAAGGTATCTTGAGACTTATTTGGAGAACCGGCAGAGTAAGTTACCAGAGTAACAAAAATAACAAATACCTCTATACTCACTGGCTACATCTACATTTCAGGCTTTTTGCTCAAGAACAGCCGTTCTTGCACAAAAAGTTGCAGAGCATCTACACTGCATGTGTGTTCTTGTGCAAGTAAATTTACAGTAAAGCATCAGAACAGAGGGCTTCTTGCGCAAGAAGGCAGTGTGGGCAGACAACAGAGGTTTCTTGCACAAGAAACCCCTATGGCTAAAATGGCCATCTGAGTACATCTCTTGCATAAAAGCACATAGCAGTGTGGATGCACTCTTGCGCAAGAACTCTTGCACAAAACAGTTCTAGTGCAAGAAGCCTGCAGTGTAGACTTAGCCACTGTGAACTACAGCTGTTTGAAATGCCCATTTAACAAATACTGTGTCTTTTACATATAGATCTCTATATACACATACAATTTCTGCACACTTTACGACAAGTAAATCCCATAAGATGCCCAAGAACAAGTGAATAGACTGGAGGACTTAGATTACAGCTTCTGTGAAGCTCAGTTAATTATGGCAGAGTAGGAAATAGAATGCAGGAATCTTAACTCCCTGTTCCAGCCCCAAGATCTGCAACTGCTCCATTTCTAACATACATGGTATCTGGCATACCATGTAAATATCTTCAGTCTCATGAGTTCCAAGAAAGATTCTTGAGTTTAAACAATCCTATGGGTCTGTTAAATACTTACCTGACAATTTAACAAGTTTTATTAGCCATCAAAGAATGACAGGCAGGGAGTTGTGTGCTAGGCCTGCATGAACAGTGTTGCTTTCAGGAGGATGTTAGAGGGATAATAAATCCTTCCTTGTCCAGTTAAAATCCAGCTGCACTGTGGCTCCCTGGCAACATGCAGGGAGGTTCAACACTGCATAATTGAAGTATCCCATAAGCTATCAATAAGGCCACAGATACATAGTTGGGTAGTCTCAACAAGATGGCTTCATTACAAATCTACCCAGCTACCAGCTTAAAGCATTCACAGGGCTGGCACAGAGGTGTGCTGGTAAGATTGTCACATTAAGGCAGCAAAGTTGTAAACTACAGTGGGAGTTGATAAATCTCACATACCCCCTCCCCAAAGAAGTCTGAAAAGTAAAGAAAGGGGACAGTGAGCACTCTTCATGGCATCATTTACTGCCAAGAAAAAAGTGTCAAAATACAAGGAGCAAAAAATGGACTAGAAAGAAAAATGAGAAACCAGGTCCAGGCTAGAGACAAGAGGATGGGCTCTTCTCTGAGGAAGACAAAGGTCGTGAAGGGTCTTCAATACTTAAGGTCAATATTTTGGCACCAGAGACCAATGGATCATCAGCAGACCATCTTAATTGTAAAACACGTGTGCACAATGGGACCCTTCAGCAATGAGACAAGCCTTCAGTTTATTGAAATAATCCTTTTGTTTCTTCAAGTTCAACATATTATTTATACTTTATCCTGCAGTTGAAAGGTACCATCACTTGCTCATTGTTCTGTTTATACTCCACGACACACATCCCATTCTTAGTTTACTCCTGCACTTGGGGCAAAGCAAGCTCTATATTCTATAAGAGCTGGTGAACTTCACAGCCGCTGATACAAGTTAGTTAGGCTAATGACAGCTGTAACTTAGGCTACGTTTACAAATCAGCGTTATTTCAAAATAACTGATGTTATTCTGAAATAACATAGTCCGCATCTACACAGCAAGCAGTTGTTTTGACATAATGTTGAAATAATGTCAAGCCGGAGGACTTCTGACTCTGACTCCTGTAACCCTCATTTTATGAGGAGTAAGGGAGGTTGGAGGAAGAGTGCTCTAACTTG